ATCTACTGACTCATTTAGTGGTTATGGTGCCAGAAGTGTCCTGGCAACATCCCAAAGTAAGTAGTCAATAATGATATAAGAATAGTTTTACAACTTATCTGCGACCTTCCTGGGTCTTAACCGAAGTCCTACCAGAGCTGGATTAAGGTTGCCCAGGATCCTAGGCAGGGTGACAAATTGGGGTTCTTGGCTCTGTTTCTGTAAGTGGTGTGTATGTGTTGTATGTGCCAAAGTGTGTGAAGTGGCTGGGTGTTGTTTGTGAATGTGTCTGAGAGCTGTATGGAGGCAGGGGGTGGGGGGCTGAGATTTTCTATGTGTCTAGAACTTGTGTGCAATTCTGACTGAATGTGTCTCTGGCATTGTGTACCTGTGCATGTGCCAGAATATTCTTGTGTGTGAATGTGCATCTCTGTGTCTGTGAGCATGTGTATGTATGTGTCTAGGAAAATATGTGTTAGGGTAGTTGCTTGTGTTGTTTTTAAGGGGTGGCTGTTTGTGGTCTTTGTGTGCTATGTGTATGATGAGGATGTGTTGTGATGTGATTGTGTATGACAACAACTATCTTCAGGGGGTGACACTGCACACTTAAATGCCTTTTATTTATATATATAACATATACCACCCTCCTGATTACATCATGGTGGCCACCTTGGTCACCTAATGAATAATCTAGCTTCCCTCCTCCTTATGATGCTTGGCGTGTTCCTCACAAATGTCAGGCACGGTGTTCAAAGTACACCCTGGACCAAACCTTGTAATTCTGATAGCACAGGCAATACATTCAGCCACTGCGTGCTTGATCATAGAAATGTTATTAAAAACCATCTGAGGAGACTCGAGCCGCCAAAACAACTTCATCTCAACGAACTTATGTGTGTCCATGGCCACCATCTTACATTACAGGGTTGATCTGTTCTCAAATGGGACCTATCAACTGCTTCTCCTCTGTCCTTCCAGACGTCAGACTGATTTAAGTTTAAGGTTTACCTTGGGTGTTGACGATAGACCTAGAGTGCTGCTGGGGGGGGAGGGAGGGGGACAAATATATACAGTAAAAAATGAGAAACCAGCGAACTCCATATCCACCAAACAGCTACTTTGGTGCTGATGGATTTTGTAAGATTTATTAAAAACACCTAATTTAGAAAAAAAAAAACAATGGGGATTTAGTTACCTTATATGCTCATACATTGCATAAGCCTGCCACAACGTCAATGTACCCCATATTCGGCAGGACCAGCCGAATACCTCTAAATCACAGGCTTTGTGACATGGTAACCAGCTAGGTCTTATTACACAACCTTAAACTGTCCCGTTGGTGCAACGCACTACTGGCATAAATGCCGGCCTTAATCTGTGCAATACCACATCCACCCTGTGGGTATCCAGACCTCACCTTACCATACTAACCCGATTATTTTACCACTGTTTTATCTGTTTGGCAACAACAATACTAGTGTTATTTTGTTGGACGATGCCATTATATAAAGTTGAACCCAGACATTATTGACTGTCTGCAGACTTTCAGTCCCATCTTAACTGCTGGCAAAAGAATCATTAGGAAACTGAGGGCAAAGGTCAGGTCCCAGGACATGACTGGTATAATGTAAAAACCTTCCTTAAATTAACACTCCTAATCTCTTAATGCTCACTTACAGCTTTCCTATTTAAATAAAACATGGGTCAAAGTTTTGCAGACTAGAGTATAATGCTGACTTTATATTTTGTAATATGCAAGGAACAGCCAGGAAAGAAATAAATAAATAACGGATACAAATTAAATTCTCTCTAATCTAACGTTATCTGAAACACTTCTAGTGCATGCTTAAATCCAATCACATCCTAACCATTCAACCCATAATGTTGTCTATAAGTCAATTGTGGCATCTCATTCCAGATACCAGCTTTAATTCTCAACTATTCTGAACATAACAGCTAAACAATAAACATGTACAGGCAAATGGTCACCTTAAGGGTACAAGGATAATTCACCTGCCTGCTGACATGTTCATTTTTTAAGCTGATGTGCACGCGGTACAAACTTGGATCGTTTACAATGATTTAAAATAAATGAAGATATATGAAAACAATATTGAATGGGACTAACTGCAGCCAGCCACGGTAAACTCTTCCTTGTGAGATTATTTTAAATACATTTGCTGCTGAAGACAATCGGATTCTTGATTTCAGTTCTATTACTGCTGAGACCTGTTTTCTCGTACAAAACATGCAACACATATAACTTCTTGTTGGCAAACACTATTTTCTAAAATGGAGCTTAATGCATTTTGAATAATATTGTATCAGGAGATTCAATAAGGAGTAATGAGCATGTTATGACTCGTATGTGTTTTAGAGCTCGATAGCGTAATCATTTTGTATTATTCTGTGTTGGACTGGTAACTGAAATGTCCCTGTTAGTGGAGATTTCTTTTTTCTTTTTTAGGAAAAAATATATTTAATTTTCGCTGAATACATTATTTTAGTAAAGTAGATAAATAGTGGTCTACTCAATTAGTAGTGTGTTGATGTTGAGAACTGAATTGCAAAATGTGCACAAAAATAAATTCTTCATCTTCAATTTGAGATTTAGTTTTTCTAAATAAGATAATTTGGCCTAAATCACAAATTACACCAAATCTATCACACACAAATACAACAGTGGCAGATCCAGGGGGAGAGCACCAGGGCAAATGCTCCCCTCAAGAAGCCAGGGAACTTGATAGCTAATGAGGTGTTTTCCCCACTCTGTCCCCATATGCCTACATCCAAGTTATTATAAAAAAAATGCTGGGCCCCCATGAGGCTCAGCACAACCATAAAGCGGCACAGGCAGATGCCTAGGGCACACCAGCACAGGGGGCGCAATCGCCAGGTGACCGACAGGAGGTAGCGTAACCAAGCGGACTGTGGTGGAGGATCTTCTGTATCCTCTGCTCTGGCTGGTCTGACAGGAAGTTCCCGCAGGAAAAGTAACAAACAGCTTCCTGTAGGATGGGGGAAGAAAGAGATATACAAATAGGCTTGGGGAGACACGCAGAGGGATTTGTGGGGGACAGATAGGGGCTGTGGAAGAGGAACAAGAGACACACCAAGGTGCAAGGGAAGGGGAGAATGAGACACACAGAGGAGCTGTGGGAAAAGAGACACAAAGAGAGGCTGGGGCAAAAAGAGACTCACAAGGAGGCCTGGGGGGCGAAAACACAAACAGATGGGCTTCAGAGAAAGAGACACAAAGAGGAGCTGACGAAGGGGAAAAGGATAATCAAAGAGGGACTGGTGGGTCAGAAACACACAGAGGGGCTAGAGGTAAAAGACAAAGGGGCTGGGACGAAGAGACACACAAAAGGGGCTTGGGGAGAAAGACACACAAAAGGGGCTGGAGTAAATGAGACATACAGAAGGGCTGAAGATGGGTAAAAAGAGACACACAAAGCAGCTAGTGGCAAAGAGACAGAAAGGGGCTGGGAGGAGGTAAGAGATGCACAAAGGGGGGTTGTAAGAGACACACAAGACACCCAAGGGGAAAAATGGGGGATAAGATACACTGAAGCGGGTAACACAATCAAAAAAGGGGATAAGAAACACAAAAGGGGCAAGAAATTCAAAAGGGGGGTTATGAGAAACACAGGTGGAAATCCATTTTTTGCAGGGAGTAGCAAAATGTAACAATGTCTGTTTAGCCAAAAGTCCTTGCACTGGCCCTGGATCCCACTCAGTAAGCCTGTTACAAACACAAAAGAAATAGGTCATTTAAATCATGTGTCGGGGCATCAGTGGCATTGCAGAAACAGAAATATTAAATATGCATAAGTATTTGTCAATTAAAGCATTTGGAAGATTGTGTATCAATGCTTGTGGGGATTAGTTGAGTCCACCTTTTAAAATCTTTCACAAAATCGAGCAGTGCACTTTCCGTGTTTGGTTTCTGAATCCACCCCTGCAACACACAAACCCATATACATGAAACCACGGAGCAACGCAGGGAGGAGTGGGCCTTGACAGAGCCAGGAGTAGGCAGGGTGAAGTTCAGGTCAAGAGGCTGTCCTGTGATTGTGCTGGGGGGCTTGGGTTAGAAGGGAAGGTTAAATAGCGGCCATTTTAGGGTAAGTCATTCTAACTTGAGCCTTTCTTACCTGTAAATTGTTGCAGGTCGGTTGGGCTCCTCTTTTCTTCTTTTCCAGGTGCAGCATGGCGTCATTGGAAGAACTTCTGTCGGGTCTGCGGTCCGTGGTGAAGGAGAAGGGAATGGCGTGGCTACAGGAGCAGCTGGGGGTTCCGAGCACGTCTGCTCCCCTCCATGCGGTGCCGGATCGGAGGCCAGAGAGGAGAGCTAGGCCGCCCCAGCGGCTTAGTCCTGGAGCGGGTCCGGCAGCTAGAAGAAGGAGGAGCTCGGCGGGAAGCAGTGCGGCGGCCGGAAAGCAGGGACGTGGAGCGGGTCGTCGGCCGGGACCGCCAGCTAGGCGCAATGCCGGGGCGGTGAGGTTGCAGGCCAGGAGGAGGCCTCCCTTGAAGGGCGCCCCCTGCCGGATGGCGGCGGGCGGGCAGGCGGAGCTGACAGCTGGTGCCGGAATGGAGCAGGACGGAGGGGATTCGGCTGCAAGACCCAGGAGCAGTCCTGGACGTCCCGGTGAGTCGCCCCCTGGGGGCAGCACTGTGGGGCAGGAGGGATTGAGAGGGGCTGGCAGTGGCAGGACAGCGGTCTCACAGGTTGGAGAGAGGGACCAGGTCAGCAGGGCACAGCAGGAGGTGGCTGGAGTTGGAGGCAGGAAGGATAGCGCTGCGGATCCAAGGGATCAGAGGAGCATGGCCAGGAGCTTGGGAAGAAGGGGAGACGGGCACAGCATCAGCAAGTCTGGGGACCCAGGAGACAGGAGGAGTGGCAGTATGGAGTGGAGTGGCAGCAGGCGGGTGACTGGCCAGGAGGACGGCGGCACCCAGGACAGCAGTGGGCGGGAGGCCTTTAGGGGTCGATCCCAGGAGCGGTTCGATAGGAGGAGCGCCAGCAGAGGGAATGGCGGAGGATGGCAGCGCGGAAGGGCAGAATGGCGGGACAGCAGGTCAGGGTCTGCAGGCAGAAGGAGACATGGGAACGGGAGCCCAGCAGGGAACCGGAGCAATAGGAGGAGGTCAGCTTCTCGGGACAGGTGGCTACGGCGCCGGCGCAGTGAGTCAGGGTCGTCTGAGAGGATCCACACGGCGCGGAGGAGGAGAAGTAGCGAGCGGGAGGGACGATGCAGGCAGGGAAGTGGTGAGGACGGGTCTGATCACGGGAATGAAGGGCGGGTGAGGCTGCAGTCGGACAGATCACCCAGGCTGTATTCTCCTTGCAGGTCGTTGAGTAGGACGCCCACGAGAGCAACACACGAACAGGCGGGCAGGAGTCGGCGTCCCCTGGTTCCTTCTGGGTCAGCTGTCGTGGTGGAAAAAGTGGCGCCCCCGCGGCCAGCAGCGGCCGGGGGCTTGAGCGGTGAGTCTCCAACTGCATCACACTCGGGAAGCTTACTTGGATGTTTAAGATCTCTGTTAGATTCATGGTCTGGGGACGGGGGGTCTCCGACACAGTTTGAGAAAGTGTGGGTTGCGGATGGCGGTCGGGCAGCAGGGGTGAAGGCCGCAGCGTCAGCGGAGCCGAAAGGGGGTGTAACGGATGCGGCACGGCAAAACGTGCATGTGTCTTTTGCGGGACCGCTAGGGTGCCACTTAAAGGTGGAGGTTAAGGAAAAAATTTGGAAAGGGGAGTTCGTGGAAATATTTTCCCTGCTCCCCCTGGAGGAATTTTTAGACTTGAAAGAAGAGGATAAAAAGGATGCGAAAAAGGAAGAGGAGGAAAAGAGGCGGAGGTATCGGAAAATACCCAAGTCTTTTGGGAACTGGTTGAGGGCTTTTTGTATTTTGGCGAGCGTGATCGGGGAAAAATACCCGGATCGCTGTTCGCAGCTTTTTTGTTATTTAGACGGGATAGGGGACGCATATCGGACCTATGGGGGTTTAGCATGGTGGAAATATGACGAACAATTTCGGCAGCGATTGGCAGCAAACCCGTCCATGCGGTGGGACCAGATGGACTTGCCTTTGTGGATGAGGCTGATGATGGCACAGAAAAGTGCCCCCTTTCTCGGAGCGGCCGGCACGGGCTCAGGTACCGTGTCGGCAGGTCAGAAGAAAGGTTTCTGCTGGCTCTATAATAAGGGCCAATGCAAGTGGGGTGCATCTTGCAGATTTAAGCACGAGTGCTCCGGTTGCGGGGGTAATCACAGAGTTTCCAGGTGCTTCCGAAAAGGTAAGCCGAACTTGGGAGGAGGGGTTGTCGGCACATCACCAGCTGCGGCTGCAGCTGGGAGCGTCGCCGGTGAAGGTAAGCGCGATGCTGCCTTGGTTAAAACTATACGATAATCAGGAGGTAGCAAAGTTTTTACGGCTGGGTTTTACAGAGGGTTTCAGGATTCCGTTTCAAGAAAGGGCTGCGGGTGGGTTATGTAAAAACCTTCGGTCAGTGGGGGAACATCCGAGCATAGCTCGGGAAAAGTTATGTAAGGAAGTCCAATTAGGGAGGATGGCGGGACCATTCGCTTCCCCGCCGTTGGTTGGTTTGCGGGTGTCTCCACTTGGGGTAGTCCCCAAGAAGGAGGCGGGTAAATTTCGTATGATCCATCATTTATCGTACCCACAAGGTACATCGGTTAATGATGATATCGACGAGGCCCTGTGTTCTGTTTCCTACACATCATTTGACAAGGCTGTCGAGTTGGTTAGGAGAGCGGGACAAGGGGCTCTAATGGCGAAATTGGATGTGGAGGCAGCTTTCCGGCTGCTTCCCATACACCCGGATTGTCATCACTTATTGGGGTGCTATTTCGATGGGGGGTATTTTGTGGACTTATGCTTGCCTATGGGTTGTTCCATCTCGTGTGCTTACTTCGAGAGGTTTAGCACCTTTTTGGAGTGGGTCGTACGACGGGAATCGGCTGGGGGTGCGGTGGTGCACTACCTGGACGATTTCTTATGCGTTGGCCCACCACGCACGGAGCGCTGTAGCCAGGTGTTGAGGACCTTCCAGTGGGTGGCGCACACATTTGGGGTGCCGTTAGCAGAGGACAAAACGGTGGGGCCCACTACGTGCCTCAGCTTCCTGGGTTTGGAGATCGACTCGGTACGGAGGGAGTGCAGGTTGCCCGGGGACAAATTACATGCCCTTCAGCGGCTAGTGGACACGGTTGGTAAGGCGAGGAAGGTCACCTTGCGTGAACTTCAATCGTTGATAGGGAGCCTGAATTTTGCGTGCCGAGTGATCCCTATGGGGAGGGTCTTTTGCAGACGATTGGCGCGGGCGACAAGCGGGGTGAGAAAACCGTCGCATTATATTAGGGTGTCAGTGGACATGAGAGAAGACTTGGAGGTATGGGCGAGGTTTTTGAGGGAGTTTAACGGGAAAGTGTTTTTTCGCGAGCCGTTGGGATCCTCCACGGCCGTGGGTTTGTTTACGGATGCATCGGGCAGCATCGGATTTGGGGCGTACCTAGCGGGTAAATGGTGCGCGGAGGGGTGGCCGGAGGCATGGAAAGCGAGCCCCTTGATTAGGAATTTGGCCTTTTTGGAGTTTTTCCCGGTTGTTGTGGCAGTGGCGTTATGGGGTCCGGAGTTAGCCAATAAGAGGGTGGTGTTCAATTCGGATAACATGGCAGTGGTGCAGGCTATCAACGGATTATCGGCTTCTTCATGGCCAGTGGTACGGTTGTTGAGGCAATTGGTTCTCTTGTGCATGTCTTTTAATATTGTGTTTCGCGCTCGGCATATACCGGGGCTTACCAATGTTGTCGCTGACGCGCTGTCTCGCCTACAGTGGGAGCGTTTTCGGGAGGCGGCGCCGGAGGCGGAAGAAGAGGGTCAAGCCTGTCCGGCGGAGATGTGGGAGCTCGGGACGTCTTGCTTGGGGAGTACATAAAGAAGTCTCTGGCGCCTGGAACTTGGTTCTCCTATGTTAAGGTCTGGCAAGTGTGGGAAGACACGATGCAGCAGGTAGGGGTGATGGGCCCTGGGAGCAATCGGATGGACGTACTGTTATGGATCCTATGTCGGTTGTTCGCAAAGCAAGCGTCGCCATCAATGGTTGATAGGTACATGTCCGCGTTGGCGTTTTTGTTTAAGTTTAATGGATGGGAGGATGTGACGAAGCATTTTATAGTGAGGCAAGCGGTTCGGGGATACAGGAAAGGTAAGAAGACGAAGGATACGAGAAGACCAGTCTCCTTCACAGTGTTACAGGGGTTAGTGAACAAACTACCTGAGATATGTTTTTCTGTGTTTGAAGTGGCGTTATTTACAGTAGCTTTTTCGTGGGCCTTTTTTGGGGCGTTTCGGATTGGTGAGTTGCTTAGTGCCAACAAGAAAGGGGTTGGTGGGCTTAGGTTGGAAGATGTGACGGTCAGTAGGGACAGGGTGTTGATCCACCTGATTCAATCAAAGACGGATGTATTTGGTAAAGGTTCCATGGTCACGTTGTTTGGTTTACCAGGGTCGGGGTTGTGTCCGGTGGCAAGTGGGGCCGGGTTTTTGGAACTACGCCCGGTAGGGAGCGGTTGTTTCTTCATACATGCCGACGGCACGGCACTGTCGCGCTTCCAATTTGTGCGGGTTTTCCGTTTGGGATTGCAGAAGTTGGGTCTGGAGCCCATGCAGTTTGGAACACATTCATTCCGAATAGGCGCGGCGACCGAAGCGGCTCGCTTGGGGTTAGGGGATGAGCGGATTAGACGAATTGGGAGATGGGAATCTCTCAGGTTTCGCTCTTATGTACGGCCAGATAGGCTGGTGTGAAGGGGTGGTTGATTGTGGGTATTTGGGATGTGCTGGTGATGTTTCCTCACTGTTATGTTTTATTTTAGGTTGGACGGTGTGGATAATTGGCCATTCGTGTATCCATTGGGCAAGGAGGAGGGCCGCAGTTAGAAGACACGGAACACAGCTGGGCTTTCCTGAGGATCGGGTGGCGTTATTCTGGTTCGGTTATCGGGGGTTTGACTGGCAGCACATTATTACGGTATTGTTTCGGAAGGTAGCGGAGGAGCCCTTGCCGAACGTGGTGGTAATTCACGGGGGGGGAAACGACTTGGGTCTGGTCCCCCAACGTGAACTGGTTAAGTGTATGAAGCAGGACGTTGACAGACTAAGGGGGCTTGTCCCTGGAGTGAAAGTGGTATGGTCGGAGATGGTACCTCGTTTATGCTGGAGATACGCCAGGGATGAGAAGGCAGTTTCTCGATGTCGGGGTAAAGTGAACAGAACCATGGCGGTGTTCATTCGAAGGTTAGGAGGCGTGGTGGTGAGGCATCGGGAGTTGGAGGAGAGATTACCGGGTTACTTTCGTGATGACGGGGTGCACTTATCGGATGTTGGTTATGACCTTTTTAATTTAGGTTTGCAAGACGGGATAGCGCAAGCCCTGTTTCTGTGTGGTGGGGGTCGCACATGTCCTTAAGTGGTCAAGGCAAGTGCTGTGGCTGAAAAGGTCTTGGTTAAACTGGAATTTTGGTGGGTTAAGAAATTGGTAGGCCAAGGTCTAGGCTGGAGTAGGCCGGAAGTCAAAAGTATGGAGGTAGGTTCGAGCCCGTCGGTGGCTACGAACCAAGGGGTGTAGGGGTGTCTGGGTACACCCCTGCAGTTAGACAAATGGAGGTGGGGCCTCTTGGTAGGCCGTTGAGTTACGTGTATGTATTATTGGTTATGCTAATGTTTGTTTTGGTAGGGTCATTGTCGGGGGTATGATATTGGAAGAGAGCCTAACAAAGGAGTACTGTTGACAATGACCCTAAATTGTTAATTTATATATTGATATTAATTAATAAAGCTGTGGACTTTATACTCCAACAGAATTTTCTGTGTCTGCGTGTTATTAAAGTATGGTTGGCACATGCCGAATAACGACTGTGCAATAATGTCATGTATATTTTGCTCTTGACCCAGCTATGCTGACTGCACACCTGGTAACCTCTATTCTCCAGTGCTTTCTTGAGCGTGTGCAGTACATCATTGACTAAACCAGCCATTGATATTTCTTCACTTGGGCTCTAATCTGCCTCATGCAGAGACACTGTAAATCACCTACTCTCTAAAACTCACAGGTTCCTGCAAGACTCAATACATATGCTATTGAAGTAGTATGCGGTAGTCACCATCACCTGGACCTTCAGACAGACTATTTATGTAGGTTGCGGTACTTTTCTTATGTTTTAGTCACCCTGTACCCATTATAGGTGCAGAGTGTGTATAATGTAATTGTTTAGTGTTAAATGTTAGTGTGCTCTCCTGTGTTGCTAATGCTTGCAATCAACTAGGTGGATTGGGCTGTGGAGCCTGTACAGCGCCACCTGTTGATTGTAATGATCTAGTAACTGCTGTATGCACTACTTGAATAGCAAGGATTGCTAATTTGCAAATTCTGGTAGATTTGCATATTGCTATTTCTGCAAGCAGGAGAGATGTTATGTGTTAATTATTGTCTTTCCCACACCATTTTAAATGTCATTATGGTATTATAAGTTCCTGTATGTTGTCTAATGTGATTTGAGTGTTTGTATTTTTATTGAGTTGTCACAGTAATCTTAATCTAATCATCATATGGGCTATGCTCAACAAAACTAAAGTTTTGTATGTCAGTTCCTGTTGGAACTTGTGTTTTTTGTGGATTTGTAGGGATCCTAGTGACACAGTCTTCAGACGTTTGTAAAGGCGATAACTATATTCACTTTAAGCAGAGCTGCTGCGGAATAGACAGAGGGGACAATACCTGCCTTGAAGTTGAGGTGCTGTCTGGTCAGGTGCAAAAGGCCCCAGAAGGACCCCAGTCAAGCTGCGGCAACTGGGGCAGAAGTGTTCCAGGATCCCTGCAAGCGGCTAGGAAAGAGACTTGGTGGAAGTACCCAGCTGGGGTACAGGGGGTGAAGCAGTTTATGTTGCCTGCTGCAAATATAGCAGGATATAAGAATCCACAATACTACATTCTGTGGCTGAAGATATAAAGAATGTAAAAACGTACATCCACACATTATTTTCATATAATCAATCATTATTCTACTTAGCAGTTTTCTAAACCTGGATGAGGAGCATAAATTTTAGATGCATCTGCTGCCCCCTATTTTAGCTTATTTTCAATAATCAGACTGCAATTTGCTGACTTATTTCAGCTCTCATCGTTTTTGTTTTTTTTTAACAAATCTTCTAAAAATGCATTGATCTGACATATTTTTGAGCCTAATAGAATATAAGCATATTATTAATTATTATTCTCCTTCATTTTTGGAGCTTGATTTTCCATCAAAGTTCTTGTGTAACTTGTTATCTGAGTTACGGAAAAGATGTAAAAACATTATTAAATAAATTTAAAGTAACAACATTGTAACACTGCCGCATCAATTTGTGGTGACAGAGACTGTACCTTCTAGTAAAGATCATACATCATTGGAATACCAAGTAGAAAAGTATCCACAGTATAAAAACTCTTTTGGATTTGTTTGTTAAAAAGTTACACTACTTACTAATGGTGAATTCTTAATTCATACATTACACAGCTTTTTGCAATAATTTATTACCCCCTTTAAGCCAAAATAATTTACATTTTATTGAGTTACAGCATTACACAAACACACCTGTAATTAGAACATGTTTCAGGCAAATATAAATAAATGTTTTAATACACATTTCACATCAAAACTAGTTTGCACATCAAAAACTAGTCATAGTTTGCAAAATCTAAAGCAACAATATAAAAAGAGTTAATATTCATTTATATGGGGGTTAGTCCAATGGGGATTAGACACTGCTTATAGTGAAAAATGTATGCACCAGTTTTGTGACTATTGAGCTAGGCTGAGAAAATCAGCGGTGCCCAGTCTTAAAGCAGCAGGGTAAATAAATAGTGTATGACTCGCGTAAGAGGTTTGCATTGATGGAACAGGTGAGCTTGCACTTTACTGGCCGTTAAAGTGGTACTAAAAACCTCATGTTATTTAAATGTCCATAGGGATTTAGGAAACTGCGCAGGTAACTCTTTTTTGCTTTTGCAAAGGCCTTATGTGTTTGGAGAGTTTCTTTATCAGAGATACATTTAGAAAGAAGGGATTAATGTAATAATGTGATGTAATACTGACTCACACATATTGACTTTTCATGATTTTATTCTTCAAATGTAAGCAACAAACCATATATATTTGTGAATATATGTTTTTATTTATTTATTATTATTTTTTTTGTATTGTTCGCTCTCAGGTCCTCTACCAGAGGCCTGGGAGTCTAAGGGTTCTGCGCAGTATCTTAGCTGTTCATGGATTCTGCTGAAAGCCACACCCCCAACTTGGGGATCACAGCCCAGAGTGCTCCTATTACAACTGTGACTACTACTGCCTTAACTTTCCACATCCTTTCTAGCTCTTCTTTCAGTTCTTGGTATTTGTCCATCTTCTCATGTTACTTCTTCCTGGTGTTATAGTCATTGGGTATTGCCACATTCACCACTACTGCAGTCTTCCGCTCCTGGTCTACCACCACTAAGTTAGGTTGGTGCCCACTGTCTGTGTGACAAACTCCCCTGTCCTTGTGAGTTTGCCACAAGCTGCTGGAGGAGCCTGCTTGACAGCCTTCTGCCCACCGACTATGGGCCAGTTCAGCGACTGTAAAGTACCATATTTTATTCCCCTTTGTTCCCCTGGTTTGGCACTTTCCATTCGTGCACATAGAACCAAATGATAGTTCCCTGGCGGCCGTTCGCATGGACCAAAACCGCAAATATACTTCAGGGGGGACTTAGCCTCGATTCCATGGAACTATTTTCGGCATGAAGACTTTGCGGTTCCAGGTTGATCCCCAGCGGCATTTAGCTGCGATTCTATGGAACTTTTCAGCTACGGGACCATGCGCGTGGTTGGTCAAATTATGACTTCCAAGAAATTCCTAAACCCCTGAACCAATCTGGGTGATTTTTGTATAAGTTGGTCACCCAGATAGGGGCTATCAGGGGATGTATGTATTTTTAAGGTACTTTTGGGGTGCTTGGCAAATGTGTGGTTTTCGTGCTTCGTGCTTGGAGATAATTGAGTTTAAACAGTGCTTGACTCAATTATCTCCCAGGCAGAGGGGAGGGATTATCTTGTTCTGTATGGGAGTGTCCTGGACCTGGTAGCCAATATAATCGTGTGTATGTTTTTACTGCAGTCTCTATTCTCAGGTCCGGGGGGGGGGGAGTGCAAATAAGGCCGGTTGTGGCTGCCATTAAACAGATTCCAGCTTGTACTCCCAGAACTATGTGTCGTCTGGTTACTGGGAGGGTAAAGGGCTATTCTTTAATCACTGTTCCAGTGTGGAAGATTCAACGGGAAAAGTCCTTGTAAGGACTAGGGCTCCCAGGACTAAGTGTTGTCCAGTGCCTGTGGGTGTCTAGAGCGAATTTTCCCTTAAGTTCCAGGAGGGAGCGGTTCCAGGACTAGAGCTCCCAGGACTGAGTATCATCCAGTACCTGGGGGTTGCTAGAGCGAGTTCCCCATTCGGCTCCAGGAGGGAGCGGTTCCAGGGCCCCAGTCAAGTCATGGCGACTGAGGGCAAGAGTGCTGAGGTTTGTCCCCTGTTTCAGCTAGGAAGCGTTCCTTTGGCGGAGGTAACCAGTCGGGGTACAGGGAGCTCCGCTACAGTCTTCTTGTCAGTCTGGATCTGAAAGTCCCACAAGACCTTAGCCCCGTCATTCTCAACTACCCTTTGGGGTATCTCCTATCTGCACTTAGGCAGGTCCAGCCCATATTCTGTGTAGATATTCTGGTAAACAATCCCAGCAAATTGGTTTTGCCTCTCAGTGTATGCTGTCCCTGCTAGTATCTTGTATCTGGCTACTATGTTTTGGATTGTCTCAGATGTCTCTTTGCGCAGTCTGCACCTTGGGTCTTGCCTGGTGTGGTAGACTTCAGCTTCTGCTAATCTGGTGCTGAGTGCCTGTTCCTTTGCTGCTAGGATTAGTGCCTCAGTGCTTCAGTCGTGCTTTTCCAAACACTGGTAGCATTTTGTCATGAGAGCATCATCCACTATCTGCTGGTGGTACAAGAGGAAACTAGTGTCACAACTAGAATATATATTTATTTTAATTTATAAACTGAATAAAGATAATCTGAGCTGGTAGATGAGAACAAATAATGAGCATACCCATTATAAAATCAGTCTGATAACATGTAGCATGTAGCTGTTTGTTCTTCAGGATAACCTTAGACACATCCCAAGCATTTCTTAATTCCTTAACCCCTTCACTACGAAGTGATTTGCAAAAATACCACACCTAGAATCTAAGTATTTTGGGTTCCTGGATGTAAAGTAAATGTTAAAATTTATTTTTTGTATCAGTACGCATAAATAACCAATTATTTCATAGAATAGAATGTAAGCTTTTTTGAGCAGGGCCTTTAAAACTCTCTGTTCCTGTGCATCCAACTCGTCTTGTTGCAAATACCTGTCTGTTAGTCCATCCGTTGTACAGTGCTATGGAATTTGTTGCCTCTTTATAAATAATTATATTAATAATAATAATAAGATGAAAACAGTGTTGTAAATAAATAAAATATATCAATATTTAATAGGCTGTTTTTCCACATTGGAGCCATGTTACCTCTTTGGACACACACACATAAACACATATACATGCAAGCATATATACACTCTAATACATGTACACACACTGATGCATAGAGACACACAATGACTCACACACATGGGCAGAAAATAAAGACAAGCAATCAGTGTGTGGCAGTGTGTATTGGAACCTGTGTATCTGTGTGTATGTGAATGAGAGTGTGTGCCTGGCAGTGAGTATCCCTGTGGATCTCTGAGTGTATATCTGTGCATATGTGTATCAGTGACTGTTTGGAAGGCATATATGTGTCTGTAAAAAACAGAGGAGGTAAGGGCTGCGCTAAGATATAGAGATTGGTACCGTAGAAATCAGACCAAATGGCCTGAATGGATAGACAGCAATAAGTAAGCCTGGGTAATATAGTCTCTATTGAAACAACAGAAAAAAGTAAATAAAACTAAGTCCATCCAAGTAGTAAAATGTTCAATAAAAATCAATAAAACGTCTCACTTATATTTGGATAGGTTATGTGTACAATCCTCAGGAGTGGATCCGTCCGGGTTGAAGATAATCCGTATATGTGAAGATAAAAAACACAACAAACTGCCAATGGTGAAATATTGTAGATCCAAAGGTAAAATAGATAAAAAGGAGGATAATACACTCACATTTGGCGGAGCTTAGGCCAGCTCTAGGATGGAGGGCGCTTAGCGGTATGATCCCCGCTAAAGGATATACTGGAGAAGTGAGTCCGTCCGTCCGGCTTTGGTTACGTCGTACTCCACAATATATGTATGAAAAACAGCAATAGTGCTCTCAGTTGGAAAATAAATAAAATAAATAAAATAAAATAAAATATACTCACAAGTGTAGAGCAGGAAATACTGCTCTATTGACACAGCTCTGGTGGAATTATCCTCACCTATGGATTTCTTGAATCAGGATACAATTAAAATGCCAGGAAAAATGTTAATAAAAGTGTATATAAAATACAATAAGTAGAAGATTGGTCCTATAAAAAAGGTAACCAAAAAGAACTTTTATTGTTTTAAAATACACAATTTAAAACCATTAACGCGTTTCACCTTTAAGGCTTTATCAAAATGGTAATAGAACAATATACCTGGCATGAAACAGTATTTATAAGAATACACAGTGGTTAAAATTGGCACCAAAAAGCGGTTCCACCAATTACAGACAAGTATTAAAACACATTATTAAAACATAATTAAAACAAGTTGAATCTTTGCAGTTATATAGGCAAGACTTTTGTATACCATATAATATATTTATATATAAAAAATGAGGCTTGAATATTGAAACATTTATAAAATTTAAGTATCACGTGATCGGGGATAGTTAGGGCAAAGCTACATGGGAAATGTAGTACGGGGCAGTTAATGGCGAGTGGCGGATGGCTCGCTCGTAAGGGTAGTAGACCACTCCCAGCAACACGTGACCGGCATGTTGGAGCTAAACTCCTTGGGAAATGTAGTCATGCCGGTCACCGTGTATGTGGGAGGAGCGATGAGCGGCTGGCTTAAAACTGCAAATAGTCAGTCGCTCTCACTCCTTGGAGGAGTGTTGCTGTTCATCAGTCCACGGTAAGACAAATTGTCTATAAATGGAGAAAGTTCAGCACTGCTGCTACTCTCCCTAGGAGTGGCCGTCCTGTAAAGATGACTGCAAGAGCACAGCGCAGACTGCTCAATGAGGTAAAGAAGAATCCTAGAGTGTCAGCTAAAGACTTACAAAAGTCACTGGCAAATGCTAACATACCTGTTAGCGAATCTACAATACGTAAAACACTAAACAAGAAGGGATTTCATCTGAGGATACCACAGAGGAAGCCACTACTGTCCGAACAAAACATTGCTGCCTGTTTACAGTTTGCACAAGAGCACCTGGATGTTCCACAGCAGTACTGGCAAAATATTCTGTGGACAGATGAAACCAAAGTTGAGTTGTTTGGAAGAAACACACAACACTATGTGTGGCAAAAAAAAGGCACAGCACACCAACATCAAAACCTCATCCCAACTGTGAAGTATGGTGGTGGGGGCATCATGGTTTGGGGCTGCTTTGCTGCGTCAGGGCCTGGACGGATTGCTATCATCGAAGGAAAAATGAATTCCCAAGTTTATCAAGACATTTTGCAGGAGAACTTAAGGCCATCTGTCTACCAGCTGAAGCTCAACAGAAGATGGGTGTTGCAACAGGACAATGGCCCAAAGCATAGAAGTAAATCAACAACAGAATGGCTTAAACAGAAGAAAATACGCCTTCTGAAGTGGTCCAGTCAGAGTCCTGACCTCAACCCGATTGAGATGTTGTGGCATGACCTCAAGAAAGCGATTCACACCAGACATCCCAAGAATATTGCTGAACTGAAACAGTTCTGTAAAGAGGAATGGTCAAGAATTACTCCTGACCGTTGTGCACGTCTGATCTGCAACTACAGGAAACGTTTGGTTGAAGTTATTGCTGCCAAAGGAGGTTCAACCAGTTATTAAATCCAAGGGTTCACATACTTTTTCCACCGGCACTGTGAATGTTTACATGGTGTGTTCAATAAAAACATGGCAACATTTCATTCTTTGTGTGTTATTAGTTTAAGCAGACTGTGATGGTCTATTGTTGTGACTTAGATAATGATCAGATCACACTTTATGACCAATTTGTGCAGAAATCCATATCATTCCAAAGGGTTCACATACTTTTTCTTGCAACTGTATTTCTAGTCAATAGGCACTGATATAATGCCTGCAAGTTTGCTGAAAATGTAAGCTCACCACCTGAATTCAAAAAGTAAAGAATGTTTCAATGGGTCATATCAATACTACAGTCAGCGAGGGGGAAGAAGTGAATGGACTCTACTATTTCACTGCTATCATTACATCAGCATTCCAGAGATTAAGAAAGATTTAGAAATATATTAGTAAACTGCATTTACTGTATATAGATATTACACAAAAAGGCAGGCATTCTTTTTACATTCTGTTGTCATTTTCAATAATTACACTGCTAACAATGCCTTCAGGGTTCTTGAAAATGCCTTTAAGCAAGGTATTTGACAAGTTTTATTTATCTATTTTTGTCACACCTTATACAAGTAAAATAGCATTTTGCTTTCATACTAATATATCAGACCCTGTGTGAAATATTAGTAGATAAGCGCCACTATATGCTGTCAAAAGCTTTTTATTTCCCAAATATTTTTAGAAATGATGAGCGAATAAATGTGTAATAAAAAAATTTGATTTTTATCTGCAAATCAATCAATACACACACAATTGTTGTGTTATGATAAAGATTTATATGTTAGCTATGCATCCCTAGCTTTCATATTAGACTTCATTGGAATCTGCTCTTCTGGTGCTTCTGGTGCACCTTGATAGAGCGATGGCCTAATCATGGGCGTCCGCAGGAATTTTTCCAGGGGGAGGGGCATAATTGTAATGACATCCATGCTTGGTCCCTCTTTGACAGTGTCATGAAAGGGAAGGGGCATAGACATTATCACATAAAGCCAGGGTGAATAGCGTTTTCACAACTATGGTGTCAGGAATTAAAGGAACATTTTGGTCACCATAACAACTTCATCTAAATGAAAATGCTATGATGCCAGGAAGTCCCTGGGTGCTCTCTTTCCTTTAAGGGTTGAAACTGCTCTCAAATGATTTAACCCCAAAGGCTTCCTCCAACTCCAGATCTCCAGGTCGCTCAGCGGTATTCGGCTTCTGAAACGGAGTGTCAGGAAGTGCAGATTGATGTCAGGCATGGGTGCTGCAGATTCGCTAGAGAGGTCAGTTGACTCTCTAAGCCAATCGCTAGTTCCCAGTCCATAAAAATGTTTTACTTTTTTATGAATGGGTAGCTACTGATTGGCTTAGAGTGCCAGCTGACCGCTCTAGCCAATCAGTGACACCCCTACCCATCGGCACTCTGTGCTTCCTGACACTCAGTAAATTAAAGTGAACACATTAACACTGATATTTTTTTTTTACCTGGGGA